CCCCCCCCCCCCCCCCCCCCGCGCGCGCGCATAATGTCGGCATCATTATGTGCTAGTGTGTGAGATTTTTTTCATTATCACGCTGTTGACCTTCAACCAGAGATTAACAGCGTGTTAGGAATTTTTTTGTCTCCAAACCCTATGTGTTATTTTTCACCACTTTTATTGTCTGTCCAAACAGGTCTCACTTGTAAATGAGTCTTCGAGGCTCAGTGTGACTTATCTGTTTAAATAAAGGTTGAATGAACTAATTATTTTTTTGTTGAAAACCATGCACTCTGCATCTACCGTAGTCGCTGTTCCACAAGCCGTTACTTTTGTCTCACACTTTGTACCACGCGGTTTATATGCAGGTGTCTTATTTATGTATTTTTTTTCACAATTTTCAAAATGTATATGTTTATATTTTATTTTGAAGGACTTTCGTCTGTCTCTTGGTAGCTTCTTGCCACTGACTAGCATTTTCCTTTGACGGAGTGGTGCGCTAGTGGCTCCCAGCACCCCGTCCCTCATGGGGACAGTCGTTTGTGACACAGAGAGAATGCCCTCAGGTAATTCAATGTACAAAGCCTTTTGCTCATGGTTTCCAATACCCAACCATAACTTTATCCACTCTGTCATCATGTGACCAGAAGTCTAATCTGAATGACCAACGAGGTTACCCTTGAGGACCATCCCCTAAAATAGACGTGAATTAATTTCTTCAAATCGTTCCCGTGTTGTTTATTGTATTTTGCGCTTCATGCACAGATCTGTTAATTTGTTCAGCGATAATGGAAAATGCACAGAGAATTTCTTATGATGCAGCTTTCATGTTAAAAGCGATCAATGCACTGTCGAGGAGGAAACGCCTTGCAGCCCGTAAGCTGCATCAACGTGTGTCGATGGTCGGGCATTGGAGACACAAAGCAGTCAAGTCTGGTACGTTTTAATAAAAGTTTTTTTTAATTATTTGAGTGTGACATCTTTCGGTGTCGGTAAATATACATTTAAATACCGGGATCTCATTTTAAAGTCACATCCGAACACGAAGCGGAGAAACAGAAGGGGTCTTTCACCCTTCCCTTTTGCATGAGAAAGACGGTGTGGAGCGGTGGACAAGTCGTCAGATTTATTTTTAAAGCAGTCAGTCAGTCAGACTGGTACACATTTAAATTGTTAGAAGTTAAGTTTTGCTGGAAGCCCGGTCTGGTCTACTCTGACTCATAACCTGGTTCAGAACAGATCATACTGTCTCATCTGCTCACAATAAGCGATCCCAGGGTCAACACCCGATAAGGCGTCATTTTTGTTTACTTGCTTCCAACACAGATAGATTTGCACAACACCCATTATCCACCATCAGAAACAGATAAGAGCAATGATGTCACACAGTCACCCCACTGATATGCTCTGCCGCCGCTTCCGGGTTAAGACGGGTTGGACGGATGCCTCAGCGCTGAGCTTGTACTTTTTCTTGCCTTATTGACATTAAATGGTAAATAGAATTTACTTCTCTTGATTTGATTGAATTTGTGTGAGTTTCCTTTCCACCTGGGAACAAAAGAACCGGAACGTGCCATGGTTGGACGGCTGACAAAACTGTGCTGTGACCCGGCAAAAAAGGTAAAAAAAAAGCTTTCAGTGTATGGTAAATATGTGTTTAAATACAAGTATCTCATTTAAGCTTAAACAGGGGCATTAAACAGAACAGCGGAGACAACCAGAGGGGAAAAAAGGACTGGGAGGGAGGGGCTGTTCCCCATTCCTTCCTCCCTGCTGTTCATATGAACAGTGCTGAGGAGAAATCACATCAAATTTATTTAGAAAGTACATTTAAAAACAGCAGTTAACAAAAGTGTTTACCAGTTATAATCAATGGTACTAATTTAATGAATATTTACCGCCTTCTTCTGGTACTATTTGACTTCCGGTAACATGACCTCGATAAGACTTGGTAAAATTTACTGGTAAATAATTTTTAAATACTTTCAGTTACGTGGGTGTTTGGCACTCTTCTGTCCAGTGATTATGCTTAGATAGTTGTGTTCATTTTGAATGTATAATGCTTATAACTATGATTCAGACAGCAAAGCTTCGTGACGATCTTGCAGTCTGAGCGAGTGTTGAAAGCAAGCTATATTCTGTGAAACACCATCTGCTGGCTGATTCTTGTACTACAACAAGAAACCTGCACACAGCAGGAGCAGTCTGGAGGACACAGATCCTGACAATGAACAGTGGATGCCTGCTGCTAAAGAAACAGAACGTCTTATTTATGTACAAAATTATGATTTATCTTATATTTAATAAATACGGCTTAGAGACAGGTGCGTTCTAAAGCCCAACAATTACGATACTTTTAATTTTTTAGCATGAGGTGACATTTTTGAGGGCTAACGTTGTCTTGTGACCTGCTCGTGACAATTCCATCATGTACATTGCGTATGTCATGATTTACGTATTGTATAATTTGTCAGACTGCCTTCTCCGGAATGAACAAAAGTAACAGACCGCTGAAGCCCCGGAGCTCGAATGTCCATCATAAAACTAACTTTACCGCGGTTTAATGTGGCGCTGTGGCTCTGCAGACATTGCACGTTGCTGTCTTGTTTTGTGGTGTTTCTAGTGTAAAATACTTCCACACAGCGGAAATGTTTCGATGAAAAGTTTGTTAGCTGTTAGCCACAGTGCTGCTAAGTCAGTCCTCATGTTGTAGCTGGCTGCAAACTATGAAATGGATTTCCTGAATGTGAGGCGGGTCTTATTACTCTGGACTCATGAGACACGCCTCCGTTCAGGAAATCCATTCCATAGCTTGAAGCCAACGTGCAGCGCAACCACAAACATGCATCGTGGATCGGAAATATCGGCAGGTTGGATCGGAAAATCCGATACGTAAAATATGCTGATAAAATTTGAAAATATGTTTATTTTGTAATTCCCCTTACAGGGGCCGGTCAGAGTCAACCAAAGGGCCGCATGTGACCCTGGGGCCGTACAATGCCCAGGTCTGCATTAGACCATAGTTTTTCACTGATTAACTTTTCAAGAGAAATGAAGCATTGTTTCAGTGAGTTGCAGGGCTACCAGATAACATTTGTCCACATCTGTTTCTGTGTTACCTGACAAAGCCATAGCCAGTTGCAGCTCCTGTCTTAGAAGTTCCAGAAGCTCAGTTACTCCTTCTTCTCCCTGCTCACACACACACACACACAAAAATACTTGGTTTCATTTTAAACCATCTCTTTGAAACATGAAACTATTAGAACAAGTTAGCTGAAGACGAGGCTCTCTTGAAAAATCAGAGAGGAACCTCACCTGACAGGCGAGGGCCCAGAGCACGGGGCGGCCGATGAATACAGCTTTGGCTCCAAGAGCCAAGGCCTTCAGGATATCCGTCCCTCGCCTCACTCCTCCATCCAGGTAGACCTCACAACGACCTTGAACTGCCTTCACCACCTCCTCCAGTACATCCAGCTGTATGCACACGCACACAAACATACACAGGCACGCACACACACACACACACACACACACACACACACACACACACACACACACAGAGTTCAAAACACATTAATGGGTTCTACAAGCTCTTTATTCACATTTATTTAGTCAGATGTTTTAAACCAGCCACTAGGGAGCACAAGCCAGTGTATCTCTTGTGCCGGTCCCAAGCCCAGGTAAATGGTGAGGGTTGTGTCAGGAAGGGCATTCGACATAAAACACTGCCAAAACTATAATGCGAGTTCATAAAAGCAAAACCATACCGGATCGATCAAGGTCCAGGTTAGCAACGACGGCCACTGGTGCTGTTGACAAACAGGGTGCCAGCGGAAATTGTGCTACTGTTAGTCTAAGACCACGAGGAGGGAAACATGTCAGGAGACAGAGGGAGAAGAGAAAAGTCAAGAATGTAGGATGGAGGGTTGCAACTCTAAATGTGGGGACAATGATAGGCAAAGGTAGAAAGCTGGCTGACATGATGCAGAGAAGGAAGGTAGATGTTTTTTGTCCAAGAGACCAAGTGGAAGGGCAGCAAGGCTCGCAGCATTGGAGCAGGGCTGGTGTGGATAGAAAGAGAAACGGAGTTGGGGTGGTGATGTAAGAGGCTGGCAAATAATGTAGTTGAAGTGAAAAGAGTGTAAGATAGGGTGATGTCCCTGAAGGTAGAAGAAGATGGTCTGACGCTAAACGTTGTCAGTGGTTATGCTCCACAGGTTGGATGTGATGTGGAGGAGAAAGATACATTTTGGAAAGATCTGGATGAGGTGATAAAGAGTATTCCCAGGGAGGAGAGAGTGGTGATCTGCCAGTAAGCACATTTATGAACACGTTCCGTCTGCATTTCACAACGAGGTGGTCCATGAAGCACTAACAGATAGTCCATTGTCCTAATAAGATGATGGTCAGCCAGCACAGTTCTGATAAGCTTTCACAGAAGTTGAGGAGGGGGGTTGCGATAGATGAAGCTTTTCCTTAGTTTACACATTTCCCAGGAGAATTTGATATGTCAGCCTGTTTTCGAGGCCAACTGAGGAGTCAGATTTACAAAAAAGTTGGGACACTAAACAAATTGTGAATAAAAACTGAATGCAATGATGTGGAGTTGGCAAATGTCAATATTTTATTTGTAATATAACATAGATGACAGATCAAAAGTTTAATCTGAGTAAATGTAACATTTTTAAGGAAAAATATGTTGATTCAAAAGTTCACAGTGTCAACAAATCCCAAAAAAGTTGGGACAAGTAGCAATAAGTGGCTGGAAAAAGGAAATTGAGCATATAACGAACTGCTGGAAGACCAATTAACACTATTTAGGTCAATTGACAACATGATTGGTATAAAAAGAGCTTCTCAGAGTGTCGTGTCTCTCAGAAGCCAAGATGGTAAGAGGATCATCAATTCTACCATTGTTGTGCAGAAAGATAGTGCAGCAATACCAGAATGGTGTTACCCAGCGTAAAATAGCAAAGACTTTTAAGTTATCATCATCAATTGTGCATAACATCATCAAAATATTCAGAGAATCTGGAACCAATCGCTGTGCGTAAGGGTCAAGGCCGTAAAACTCTACTGGATGCACGTGATCTCCGGGCCCTTAAACGTCACTGCACCTCAAACAGGAATGCCACTGTCAAAGAAATAACAGAATGGGCTCAGGAATACTTCCAGAAAGCATTGTCAGTGAACAAAATCCACCGTGCCATCCGCCGTTGCCAGCTGAAACTCTACAGTGCGAAGAGGAAGCCATTTCTAAGCAAGCTCAGATGTTTGCACTGGGCCAGGGGTCATTTAAAATGGAGTGTGGCAAAATGGAAGACTGTTCTGTGGTCAGATGAGTCACGATTTGAAGTTCTTTATGGAACACTGGGACACCATGTCATCCAGACCAGAGAGGACAAGGATAGCCCAAGTTGTTATCAACGCTCTGTTCAGAAGCCTGCATCACTGATGGTATGGGGTTACATGAGCGCTTGTGGCATGGGCAGCTTGCATGTCTTGAAAGGCACCATTAATGCAGAGAACTATATTCAGGTTCTAGGACAACATATGCTCCCATCTAGACGTCATCTCTTTCAGGGAAGACCCTGCATTTTTCTACAAGATAATGCCAGACCACATTCTGCAGCAATCACAACATCATGGCTATGTAGGAGAAGGATCCGGGTACTGAAATGGCCAGGCTGCAGTCCAGATCTTAGAGAACATTTGGCGCATCATAAAGAGGAAGAAGGCCCAAGACGATTGAACAGTTAGAGGTCTGTATTAGACATGAATGGGAGAGCGTTCCTATTTCTAAACTTGAGAAACTGGTCTCCTCTGTCCCCAGACGTCTGTTGAGTGTTGGAAGAAGATGGGGGGATGCCACACAGTGGTAAAAATGGACTTGTCCCAACTTTTTTGGGATTTGTTGACGCCATGAAATTTGGAAACAACAGATTGTTCCCTTAAAATGATACATTCTCTCAGTTTAAACTTTTGACCTGTGATTTGTGTTCTATTCTGAATAAAATATTAGATGTTGGCACCTCCACATCATTGCATTCAATTTTTATTCACAATTTGTTTAGTGCCACAACTTTTTTGGAATCCGGTTTGTAGATAAGATAAGCCACATTTGTTCATTTTTTCAGGTAGACTATTTTTCTTGTCAGCCTCGAGTCTTACTGATACTTTCAAGATCCAAAATGGCCAGATTAGAGTGCATTCTACTGGTCCGTGCTTACGAGCAGGGACCAGTATACCAACATACCAAGGTTGTTTTGTGCTGGCGAGTCCCAAAGCTGCAAGTGGCCTGCGTTTCACAAATCTCTTCCATCTTACGGTTTAGCTCGTAAATCAGTTGATTTTGAATCCTCAAAGCACGAACCAAACCTTCACATAGGCAGCAGCCTGACCAGGCCAGATTAGCTGCGGTTGTCTCCTTTGTATGTTGATAAACCAGAAACCAGACAATTCCAAATACAGGAAACCTGCTATCATAAATCCAATTAAATGCAATTTTGGCATCCTCGATTGACAGCAGAGATACACACATCACATTCCACTTTTCCAGAGATACATCCAGCTGCATGCATATCATCCGAGCAGACATAAGGGTTCTCCAGGACTCTGTCGCTTTGGTGAAAAAATTTTGTCATTTGCGTTGAAAGTCCAGTTGGTCAGATTCAAAACAATAGTTTTCATTTCGGAAGATGTGTAAAAATAGGAGCTCAGATACACAGGCAGAGAGCAAAAAAAGCAGGAGGAGAACAGGGAGAGGGAAGAGAATGTGTGTGCCTCATACCAGAGCGAGTGAGGGAAAAAAACACTTCCAAAAGAGAGAGAAGCATAGAGTGACCTTTGGAATGGAATTCCTTTATTGTCATTATACACAAGTACAATGAGGTTGAGAGCCACTCCTTTTTTAAGTCAAGTCAAGTCAACTTTATTTATAGAGCACATTTAAAACAGAACCTGTTATCAAAGTGCTTAACAACAACAACAACAACAACAACAACAACAACAACAACAACAATCAATGAGAGTAAAATTAAAGACACATACATATATATATATATATATATATATATATATATATATATATATATATATATATATATATACACAATGCACTAATAATAATAACTGAAGAATTAAATAAAAGTATTTAAAACAGAGGGTCACAGATTAAAAAAAACACTAGATCAATTTACACTGTGTGAAATGCCTGCAAGAACAGATGTGTTTTAAGCAGGGATTTGAAGTAAGGAAGGGAGGTGGCCTGCCTGATGTTGGGGGGCAGGTTGTTCCAGAGTTTGGGACCCATGACTGAAAAAACCTGATCTCCTCTAAGCTTTTCAGTGCAAACATGTTTAAAAACATACCTAAAAAGATAAAAAAATATAATGCAATATAGATATAGCACTATGAAAGTAAAAATAAAAGTTATTTCACAATTATATAAATTTGAATATTGTACATTATGAATATTAGTAAGGTAATTAAGAGGTAAGGTAATTAAGAGTATGAAATGTCAGTAGTGTTGCACAATAGAAGTCCAGGGGTTTGGGAGGTTAGACTATTAAATCAGTGCATATGTGAGTTCAGTGTGGTGATGGCTTTTGGGAAAAAACAGTTCTTGAATCTGTTTGGTCTTATTCTGATGCAACTGTAGCACTTCCCAGAAGGTAACAAGTCAAACAGTTCAAAACCCGGGTGAGAACTGTCCTTAATTATGCTTTCTGCTCTGTTGAGGCAGCGTGATGTGTAAATGTCCATCAGGGAGGGGAGAGGGCAACCAATTATCTTTTGTGCTGTCTTGACTACTCTCTGAAGCCTCTCCCTGTCAGCCAGGGTGCAGCTGCCGTACCATACTGAGATACAGTATGTCAGCAGGCTCTCGATGGACGAGCGTTAGAAGGTCAATAGCAATTTGTTGTTCAGGTTGTGCTTCCTAAGGACTCTCAAGAAGTGTAGTCTCTGCTGAGCCTTCTTGATGACGGCTGTGGTGTTCTCTTTCCAGTTAAAGTCAGCGGGGATAAGGACACTGAAAAACCAGAAAGTGTGAACCCTCTTCATGCACTCACCATTGATGTAAAGGGGGACTAGGTTGGTGCTGTGCTTTCTGAAATCGATAATCATCTCTTTGGTTTTTTGATGTTCAGAGCCAGATTTTTCCTCTGAGCACCAGGTCGCTAGCTCCAGAATCTCCTGTCTGTAGACTCTCTTCTCCCTTAGAGATTAGTCCGACCACTGCGGTGTCATCGGCAAATTTGACGATGAGGTTGTTGTTGTGGACCGTGCTGTAGGCGTGGGTGTAGAGACAGTACAGCAGGGGGCTCAGCACACAGCCCTGTGGGGAGCCAGTGCTCAGCGTACAAGTGGAGGAGAGGTGGGTGTCAAGTCTTACAGATTAAGGTCGATTGGTTAGGAAATTTTTTATCCAGGCACATGTGGTGGGGGGGAGGCCGAGATTGTCCAATATATTT